AATTGGCTAGGAGTAATTATTCCTGGAAGAATTAGCTTACCAACCACCCCTCGTCAAATTACATAATACGCTCTGCCATTTTAAGTGATTTCAATTATTAACAAATTTGGTTGTACTTATCTATAACAAAATTTCACAATTTGTTCCGTAACATGATTTTCGTCATACAAGTATTTTTTATTTATTTTTTTTATTTTGATTTACAGCTTGATTCCACACCGTATTTTCAGTACAAGTGTGGAATTTTCAGCATGGATACCGGTAGCCCGAATTCAGGCCGACCATAGATATCGGGTGTGCGCCGGCAGGAGATCGAACCCCGGACCATGTGCATGGTCGGCGAGAGTCCTAACCACTGAGTGGTAATTGACGCACACAATGTAAGAAGAAGTGATGAAGATTGGCATAGCAAGTTCTGACACATGACTATTTTCCCGAAGGATCATTCCACCTACCGCTACCACTAATTCCTCCACCAGTCCATTCACCCCGTTCAATGGACCGTTTCATATTCTGCTCTAGAACTGACCACTCCTATATTTATACATTTCAAGACGTTATATAGCCAAATCCTTTACAACAATCTCTTTTTCATACACAAATAATACTGCTAACATTGTCCTCATGTGTGAGTGTAACTGTTGACCTTTCCCAAAGTGTTTATCACTGAAGCTATTGGTATGGTGTATTCTGAATGATTGAGTTGAGGATGGAGCCATGCAGCTCCAACGTCACTTCTGTTGAAAAAGCAGCCTCAGAAATGTACAACGCAAAAGGAAGGAAGTTGACTCGTGTTGATCAGTAGGTGTGGTGACAAACACAAAATAAATCGCTGTACTATGTAAGTCACCGATACGGATTCTGACGGCTTGAGTCTGGACATGAGTTTATAACTATTGTTAAAAACACATTTATAATTGTCCGGATCTGAATAATAGTTAGTTCTTCTCCCTCTGTTATCTGCTTTTTTGTTTAAATTATTGTTGAACTATGATTCCATGGGTTCTACGTAGATTTATGAGGTATCTAAAAGGTCAGTGTGCTTGGAGGTTCTTTTCATCTGTGTGTGTCAGCTGAATAAGATCATAATGTGCGTAACGCATACTACTTCCTCATTATGCATTGGTGTGTGCTGCAATAATTCTTATTTATTCAATCCCTTTAAGAATCTGACACCTACTTCTTTCAACCATATGAGTCTTTCTCTTAGGGACCAGATGTCAGAAAAAATACTAGCCCATTTGAATAACAGTACATTTTTATTACTAACATCGCAGTTGATATAGTAAGACCAATGTGAATAAAATTATATGTTGCGAATATATATTGACTTCTGGGAAACGAGTTATTTAGGTTACCTGCATAGATTTGAGAACGTTTCCAGTTGGTTTCAGCTAGAACCAACGCTGACAGTTCATGTGTAGCTATCATTCCTGCTAGATCTGAGCTCTAGCCACACTACTTGTTTACCCTTCAGCCTGGCCCACCCAGCCTGGTGGCCAGGCAGCTCTTAATACAGCCCCAACTGGCGAGGGGAGAGAGATGTATTTATTGACGATGATTTGGAGAAGATCTACAAGTAGATAATCGCACCATAACGAAGCTGTCGAGCTCTTGTCCCTTCGAAATTATGTTCCCTATCCGGTATTTCAATATGCACGGATGAATATGCTGATAGTTGACGGTGAAATGGATGAGGTTTAGTTGAGCTGACAGACTTCTTTGATCCCTTACAAGCTTTCCAAGCACTGCATCCACGTTAAGATTGTATCCGCCATTATTTCCCTGCATTGATTTCGAAAGCGATACTTCTTTTTGAAATAACTCGCACTTACGTGTGTGTATGGTATTTTTGTTGAATTATGTCTGAAAAAACTGTTGATTGTCGGTCAAGTACTCTTCGAGAACAGATATAAGTTTGAGATGACCACACAAATCTGTCAGCTGCCTTAGCATTTCAAGTGAGAATGTAGTCAATCAATAATTACATGTAATGAGCCAAGGTATAAGCTTGCGCAACCGGAAGTCTGGAGAAAGTCTAGTAACCGCTGCATAACTTATAAATGTGATTTACTCATTTTTTTTTCTGAAAAGGTTCTCGAAAGGGGAGAACAGGTCAGGAATTTCCTATGTGGGTTACTCTATAAAAGGATCAAGCGTCCAGTCTATGTAGGCTCTATATCAGCTTTTACCGAATCATTTAAAACCTTTAGATTCAATTAGTTATAAGCAATGAGAAAGGGGATATTGCACAAAACTTGAATTTGCATTTGGGGCTTACATATTACAGGACACTTACAATTTAGATCATTCCTTGCAAGAATTCTTGAAAATGGCATCCCAGGAAATACAGGAGGTTTTGAGTGTTATCTCTTAAGTGGTTTTTGCAGTAACAAACGATAGTACACTACTTTAGATATGGCTTTGAAGACTTAGATTTAAAATCTGGCCATGCTTTCTTGCAGTTGCATAGGGGTTAACTGAACGAAGATGACAAAATGGTGAAAATCACCGATCTTAATCAAAATATTGCGTATCCTTACAACACTACTGAGGATCACTGAGGCCAAAAGGAATGTCTACCATCTCAAAAGATGTTTTGCATGTGTAGTTAAATCTCCCTACATATGAAGAAAAATAACCACTGAGTATTTCGGTTATAACGTATTGATATCTTGTTGTATGACAGGGTGAACAGAGCCGAAAATTTTCAACAGCCTTTCTTTTTTACTCCCCCATTCCTCTATAATTTGAAATGTTTATCTTGAAATTACCTCTATCTTCAAAAAGTGAAGACTTAACTAAGTAAAAGAACCCTAAGAGTTGCAGTTTTGTCAAAGTGTCAAGATATATTATAAACAAAATTTGTTAGTAACCTTACAACGTTCAAAGTCGTTGCCATGGTTCGTTCGCAAATATTCGATTAGTTTCCAATTTTGTTGTCCATATCGTGAAAAATTGTTACTGTGCTTTTTCTTGATTTTGTAACTATTTATGCTGCATGATTTATATGTTTAGTACATAATATGTCATATTCGGTAGTTGCAGATGTACGTTAGCTGTGGCAAACGAATCAAAGTTTCTATAAATATTAACTCTTATAAACATGTGCCTTCGAGGACCAAGAGTTTGTAAAGCATCTTGGTTAACGCATTTCCATAGTAGGAGAGGGCATCACGGAAGGTGACTTTGCTATGACCTATTAAAACTGCCTTGCACTTATTTGAGGAAGTGTGGCGTAATTTACAACCCACAGTGGGACAGTGATGAAATGTTATCAGTACGCTGATAGCGAATGCTCAAAAAATCAAATTTTCAGCAACGACCCACACTGTAGAGTCAGAAATCACAGGGTTGAAAGCCGTATTACACAATCTTGGTGATTCGTGAGATTTTGTATAACTGTTTGACCTTGATTCCATATTAGTTTGTTTATTAGATATATCACACAGTGAAACAATATTATTTACTGGATCCAGTAAATAATACTGTTTCACTGTGTGATATATCTAATAAAAACTAATATGGAATTACTTACTACCACAGTGCCCAAGTTTTACACATATATTGTTTGACCTTGAGGTGGAATGTCTATAGTTTTACGCATTTTCCCAAATATTTAACTTAACCCTCCCCATATCACCTCAGGGCTTTCTAAAAATGTTACTTATGGCTAACTAGATTTTGATTTTTTCTTATTGTTTTGATTAAGGATTGAGGCCTCTAGCCTATTTGATTAATTTTTTGAGTGCATATTTTAGTACATTCGCTTCTAATGCGTTTTTGATCCATTTGGAGAAGCAGTGATACATTTACAAGACTCATTTTGAGCAAGTTCTGTATACATTTTTTAGTTGTAATCTCACCAAGTATGTGTCTGAATTAGTGATCACATGAGCTGAAACTAGGTGGCAGTCTGATACAACCTTTATGCCATGAATTTCTTTGACACATAATCAGTACTCGCCTACACTGAAAAGATTGACATATCTTTTTTTATATCTTCTGACGGTTGCATGCACGATACGCATGGTCGCAGAGTTTGCCATGTCTATGGGAAGCATCTGTCCCATGAAGTGACGTGATGAGTATTTTGAGTCATCTGCGTAGAGAGCTGTGGGTGATTTGGTGAACTTGGGTAGTTCATTGATTGATGAAATAACTTAGAGAGGCTCATCACTTTGTCCAGTTGTCTAGTGATGTCACTTGATGGTTTCCTCGGAGTATGGCCAATCCATCTCCACTTCTTCCTGCCTATTTGTTACACAACCGGTTCCTGGTTGGTTCGCTCCCAGAGATCTTACCCTGTTGCTGATCTTTTCTGGCCGGCCATCTGATCTTGAGTATTGATCCAAGACAACTGTTAATGTTTCCCGTGATATGAGCCACATTTCATTGTATTATGGTTTAGTTTTATACCTCCGTGTAAAGACGTTTATGGAATTAAGTTCAATATCGAGACTTAGGGCTTTGGATTCGATTAAAGGACTTTGTACTTCAAGATTTTGTACCAGTGCATGCAACCGTGTGAGGGTAACTGTGGTGTCTACAAAGGTATTGAACAATTTCGATATATTGATGTATCTATGTTAACTATAATTGCAAGGACTGATCTATTAATAGTCCCATTGCGAGAAAAAAGTTGTCCATGAAACATAAACGAATGCAACTTGTCAAACACTTGAAAATAAGTAAGGGATTGTGAGAGTTAGTAAAACTAATTAGTAATTACAAGAACATTAGATTTACCACCATCTGCACAAAACGGAGTTATACACCAATCAACGGCAACTCCAAGAATTAGAATCCAATTTGCAGATCTACTGAGTCTAATGGACTTGGATGTTTACTACACTGTCGGACCTACTTCTGTAGTCGGCTTTACAGACTATACAACTCAAATCTACAGTTTTGTAAATGACAAAATTTCATACACGACCGATGTAAGCTTCATTCCTTTACAAAAGTTACTATAATGCTCACAAACACTCATGTGTCAGTTATGAATATGCATCCACTTGTTTGCTGGATAGTGCTAGATTCATTTTGTGTACAATCTATCGAAAAGAAAACGTAAAAGTTCCCAAGAATAAAGGAAAACTAAAAATTTTCAGAATCTAACTTACTTTCATTTTATTTACAGGTTGTGCGCGATGCGACCGAATAAATTCCCATGCTCCAATATCTAGAAAAGAACCACGTGAACTCCAAAATTTGTTTAGTATACTTACTATTAAGCATGTTAACAGAGAGGTCATTAAGGGCGACAACACGGTTTTCATACTCCTCCTTATATTGATAAGTATTCTTCGGAGAACTCTCTAGTAACAGGATACTTTTATTGCCTAGTAGTTTAGAATTTGCTGCAGAAGGTAAGCAAGATAAACTATAAAACGTTTAGATTTACCCGCCACAGCAGCAAGACCAAATCCGACCATTCCACCTCCAACAATTACTACATCATACTTTGTGGCCAATTTTGTAGCGCTGTAGCTGCGTAAGCATTGACTCAAAAACGTGGGACGAATTCGGAAGAGCATTAATTCAGTAGCTGATTACATGAGTGCAAAACGGATAGAAGTCATAAGGTTTACTGCCCAAAAGTCACTGGGTGTGGTTAAAAGAGGCGTAATATAGCATAATAAAATTACTATAGTGAAGAGAATATAAAGCAATCTGCTACATAGTCAATAATACTTAAAGAATTTTAGTTTCCACAAAAAGCATTTATAGACACCAAAGTCAGTTAATTAGGTGTCCATATGCATTAACTCATAAGGTAAACCTACAGATAAGTATTCAAAGACTCTTCTACGACTTTATGAGTTATTCTATTCACAGTTAGACACTAGCATAAAACCCATAAATCAAAAATCAAAGGAAGCTTGACTTGTTACCATCAAGGAATAATCTCGTTGACTTAGAATATGCAGATGATATAGTCCTGCTACTAGGTGAAGAGACTGAACACCTTGAGTTGCAATCTACGAATGATTGGCATGAAATTCGCTCCCGCCAAATGTAAGACGATGCTGCAGGACTGGACTACATCGACTCCTAGCTTAGAAATAGGGAGTGAAGTGGTAGTGCGTGTTGACCAATTCAGTTATTTAGGAAGTTGTATCAGCTCCAACGAGCTGATTGCTGACAAAATATCAGAACGGATACAGAAGGCTCAATTCGCATATACCAGTTTACACTATCTCTAGCGTAGACGTGATATGCGGCTATCAACCAAAGGGCGGGTGTACTGCTCAGCAGTCCGCTCTGTCCTCCTTTACGGCTGTGAAACCTGATCATAGAGAGTGGAGGACATGAAACACCTGGCTAGCTATCTTTGATCATAGGTGCCTGCGTTCTATCTCCCGTGTGAAATGGTATAACAGAGTGAGCAATATTGAGGTTGGGCGTCGAGTGGGAAGTCAATTGACGACTGATATGGTTAGGACATGTCTTACGTATGACTACGTACGTACGTAGTCATCGCCTTCCTCGACAATGGGCAATGTTAGCTCACATAGGGTCAGACTGGAAAAGAAATAGCGGCGATCAAACTAAAACAGGGCACCAGTCAATGAAATCCACGACAGTTAGTTCGAGCCACGTAGGAAGGTGTAGACTTCCTGGTTGGGGTCCTCGGGACGGTAAAAACCAATGGCTGGAGACAATTGGTGATATGGCTCAAAATCGTTCTCAATGATTGGCGCAGATGCATCCACTCCTTGTGACTTATAATATCCAATGAAACTACATTGTTCTTCCATATTACTATTGTTTTTGTCTCATATCTCTGTTTACTGTATCTATTTTGCATTTCTTTTGCTTGTTTCTCTTTCTTAGTGTGGTACATGGAGTGTGGCGACTTGAACTGCTGCTGCTGCACTTCGGATTGTGAGGGCGATTGTTACTTCCCGGCTGCCCACACCGTGGAAGTTGGTTGCGTGACCGCAGAGCCCAGGGGACAACTGCTTGAGGCCTGTCACACACGGCCTGTTTTTGTTTGTTGTTTTTCATTTGGTGTGTCTCAGTAGCGTATTTATCACTTTTGCCCTGTGACACGGCAGCAGAAAGTGCGGTCGTTGTTAATCCGGGCCCCGACCGATCCGGCATGATATTTTGTGATTTATTTGAAGTCATAGGATTGGATTGGGTAACTGCTTTTAGTCTAACCGCTATCCAAACAACCTTTCTGGCATGGTAGGACCTGCAGGAACATAAGTTCCAGCCAGTATAGCTTGTTGGGCGACTTGAACTGATGCATATCAGTGCAAAGTTCTACGTTGAAACCAGTCAGTCAGTGCAACGCACCACTTTATATCCCTATGTGTGTTACGAATCGGACGGAGATAATTTGGATGCATACTAATCAAAATTCCTGATCAGCTATAAGAAAAAAGAAAAGGCAAATAAAATACAGAAATCTAATGTTAAAAGAAAGTCAGAGATGAAACCTAAATTCGCCAAGCAAAGGTTCGAGTTATCCGATTGACCCCAGAGAGGTAATATACACCTAGCTATATTGCTTTAACCAACAGCCAATGATGTGATAGACTAATGCCAAGTTAAGGTCTCTAAATCATTAGCTTTTTTCAACTTAATCCTTTTCCCATTACAGTGGCGTTCTGAGACGTACAGCTTATCAAGGGTCCCAATCACTTTCCTTAATGATAGTCTATGGTTCTGACTGACTACCGACTTATGTAACTTAAGTAGCTCCCTGTGCTTAATCATTGCATTAGGATTATAATAAGTACGAAAAGCAGGAGCAATATCACGAACATTAAGCTTTTGAAACACATTATGAGTACGCACATCATCCACCTTTGATGGCTATGGTTCATGCATATGCATTAACGTTAACGTCTAAAAGTACGCTGGTGGCTGACACCAAATCAGTAAGGAACTCCCCCCACACTAATAATTTTAAACTCGCACAGAAAGCCTTTATAACGCGTCAATGACAAAACAAATAAAAAAAACAGTATAAGGGGCATATTCGACAAACACTGCTTGATAATGACATCTCGAACAAAACTTCGGATAACAAGGCAATCCCAAATGTGAGTATAGAATTACTCATTCTGTGTGTGTGAATCATCTACTTAGTAAAATACATACTCAGGCTTGCTGCGATAACCACAATATGTGTGTAGTGATTATTTTGATTGAAATATGGATACAAGTAATGTGCACAGCTAGGAAATTGGCTAATACTGATAGACGTGCTATAATGTAGAAGATTCGTCATGGAAATGGATAATAGCCCCGAAATAGCGTAGGAGACTGACAACTTTTGTTGATATAATTGTGAATCACTTAGAATTATCTGAAGAATCTTCACAATGTACTTGATGTGATTCGTCAGCTCATCATGATGTCATAAAACATAAAAACATGAAGCACACTCCCTACCAAATAAATGAGATTAACATTTGTATAATGATGAAATAAACACCAGAACATTTTTCAACGCGGATAGCACACGAGCTGGTGGACGTCCAATATTTTCATAGAACCAGCCATCACTTCAGTTCATATCAATAAACTGAAAAAAATAGAATAATTCTACCAGTAGCCTAGTTATGGATTACTAGACAGCACCTATTTCCCTGGGCAAAAGTTTTATACATATTCTTTTCGGCGTGAACTTACCTTTTTCAGTATAATCAGTTTACATAAGCGAAAAATATAATCAAGAATAATTGACATAAGAAGTTTACCAGAAGAAAAAAAGAAAGAAACGCAAGTAATGAGGCTAAAAGCGAACAAATAAATTACTGGAAAACTAACCTTGAAAAAGCACCCGAGACCAAAAACAGCGCCCTATACCGGATAATATCGAATATATCCAATGTAGCAAAATTTCAACGAACGTTACATATAAGTTCAGCCGGGTATAGCATTCACGAGTTTCACCAGTTTAACCCAAATCGAGTCATTTGTGCTCGCTTCACGGTTTTAAGGTAGGATTCCCTAATTTTCGGTAACGTTCTGTGGAATCGGTCCCATCGCTTGTCTGATGAAGCTCTGGTGGACCCCAATGGGATTGGAGATTGAATTGGATATATTGGGTGCTGAGATCAGTTCACTTTTGAGAGTCGAGGATGTACAGATGCTGGAGGAGGATGAATGAATAGAAAGAGTAGCGAGATCAAAATATTGGAGAATGATCAGCAGTAAGATTAAAAAATTAGGTATATGCTGACTAATAGTGTGAGATCTTATGTTGATAGACGGCTTGGACGCAACCCTTGTGTCGCTGCACAATTTTTTAGCTCCCGCTTAAAACTTTTCACAGGCTGTGCAGCAGTCACATCTGCTAAGAGAGAGTTTCATGGGTAGAAAATTTGAGTTGAGCAAATGAGAGCGCATTAGAGTCTTTGCACTCTGATGAGCTATCTCTAGTGGTTTGCTGCAAGAAAGCTCGAACCTTCTTAATGGAAGAATAGCTTATTTTGTGTGGTTCTAGTCCTTTCAGATCCTATGTGGAGGAAAGTAATGAAATTTCAGACAAGAGAGACCATATCGACCAGCCAACCTATTTCCAGTCGACTTTCAGGCCTGTCCACCTAAGATATTTAGTATTGAGTCAACTTTTGTTCTTACATTGGACATGAAGATAATTTTATTCAGCACTTCATGCTGTTGACAGTAGGCTGTTCTTTGAGAATATAGCAATTAGATTTCGCTGTTCACACCTATTTTCTCAATAATAATAGTTTTCTGCATTCCAAAAATAGTACTAATGTCACAGTGTGGAATTTTCAGCATGCGGAACTATATCACAACACTGTAAGCAGTTACACAGATAAGGCGAGAGGATTTTTAATGACAGTTCTTTTTGCGAAGTAGTGGTGAAAGTAAGATCATGAAAAGACAATAAATTTTGAAATAATGAAAATAATGGTAGTAGTTTTGGTTTCGCCGATTCTTTACAGAGGTTTGAAGTCTGAATATTTTGGTAAATTTGTTTTATTTTCACTTGGACGTACTTCCACTTGTTTCTGATTTCACTATTCATTCTTCGGTGAAATTCTGAGGCAGTCTTTCCCTTGAAATAGGCATTGATATTAATGCACATATTTGAAGTAATTTTCATATTTCAGGCCGAAACGACAGGTGAGTTCACCTTTGGAATTTCTCAGATAAATTCTTTGGTCAATTAAATATAATTATCGTGTCACTTAGGGTAGAAAATGACATGTGTTGTTGTAAACAGTGTTATCGAACTTTACGGTAGAAACTGACGTAAATTCTTATTGTGCATGAATTTCATATAAAAAATTGCGTTACACCACTCATACATTGTTTAGATGACTCGATGTGTTCTGTTAGTCGCAAATGTGGTCACATTGTCATATTTAAAATAAAACACAGGACTGACATACTGACATTATTTGATGAGAAATGTTGGAACTTTCAACAGGCAATCTCCAGGTGAGCCTTAAGGGCTTATGTGGTTGCACAGAACGGTTTAACGACTGAAAACAGCAGTGGGTGTATTTATCATATAATTGCTGATAGGAGTAATTAGCCTTCTCTCTTTCAAATGCATGAGTTCCCTTTAAACGCCTTATGTTTAATTCTCACTCAGTTAATACGCTTCGGAATAAACAAATGTACGAACCAGTGGCAGGCACTTGTGTAAAACTACACAGGTATACATTTGTGGCAGTTCGTCAGTCATGTCCGTTAGTCCTGAGGAGATTATGGGTATAAGTGTTTCACATCCTGACACATATCATTACATGAACAAGGTTCTTCGAAATGATCAGTTGGTAATATTAGCAGATTAAGCAGGTCCTAACAAACTGGTCAAGTGTGGGGCTGTCACTGATACTGTAACCAAATAACCAGTAATTTCAAACAAGATCGTCTGCTTATATAAACCTCCTGAATACTTTTTCGTTGAAGCCAACTTTTTGTGTATGCTTCCATTGTAGATCTTTTAGAAGGCCATTAAATTGATCTTACTATTGGAAACTCAGGGTCACTCGGGAAAATTTCGCATTTATACAGATGTGTGAAGTGGTACATGGGGAATACTATACACGTAGTTAAAATTAGATGGAAACCATCGCATGACAAACTTCTGTCGTCCATTTTCGCTATTGTTTGAACTACTCTGGGGTGTAGAGGATTTTCAAATGAATATTAATAGACCATCACCACGGTTTCCAAAGAGTCATCATCCGTAAATAATAATGTTCCTGAATTCATGTTTGTTTATCTAACATCCTTTGTACTGGTAAAGCTATTACGTTACTGACAGTGGCGTTCGCACTACGTCGTAACACATTTCGATAGTTACTTTCATTTTTCCGGTCTAGCCACGGGCGAATCATTCTTAGTATTACTGCGGTTAAGTCACCATTACACAAACTACGCTCTATGAATTTCTATCATATATGCAGCATATCTTCATCCACTTTACTAAGTTTCTTTCCTTAATCTCCTCGGTTAATTGGCTAAGAGTAATTATTCCTGGAAGAATTAGCTTACAAACCACCCCTCGTCAAATTACATAATACGCTCTGCCATTTAAAGTGATTTCAATTATTAACAAATTTGGTTGTACTTATTTATAACAAAATTTCACAATTTGTTCCGTAACATGATTTTCGTCATACAAGTATTTTTTATTTATTTTTTTTATTTTGATTTACAGCTTGATTCCACACCGTATTTTCAGTACAAGTGTGGAATTTTCAGCATGGATACCGGTAGCCCGAATTCAGGCCGACCATAGATATCGGGTGTGCGCCGGCAGGAGATCGAACCCCGGACCATGTGCATGGTCGGCGAGAGTCCTAACCACTGAGTGGTAATTGACGCACACAATGTAAGAAGAAGTGATGAAGATTGGCATAGCAAGTTCTGACACATGACTATTTTCCCGAAGGATCATTCCACCTACCGCTACCACTAATTCCTCCACCAGTCCATTCACCCCGTTCAATAGACCGTTTCATATTCTGCTCTAGAACTGACCACTCCTATATTTATACATTTCAAGACGTTATATAGCCAAATCCTTTACAACAATCTCTTTTTCATACACAAATAATACTGCTAACATTGTCCTCATGTGTGAGTGTAACTGTTGACCTTTCCCAAAGTGTTTATCACTGAAGCTATTGGTATGGTGTATTCTGAATGATTGAGTTGAGGATGGAGCCATGCAGCTCCAACGTCACTTCTGTTGAAAAAGCAACCTCAGAATTGTACAACGCAAAAGGAAGGAAGTTGACTCGTGTTGATCAGTAGGTGTGGTGATAAACACAAAATAAATCGCTGTACTATGTAAGTCACCGATACGGATTCTGACGGCTTGAGTCTGGACATGAGTTTATAACTATTGTTAAAAACACATTTATAATTGTCCGGATCTGAATAATAGTTAGTTCTTCTCCCTCTGTTATCTGCTTTTTTGTTTAAATTATTGTTGAACTATGATTCCATGGGTTCTACGTAGATTTATGAGGTATCTAAAAGGTCAGTGTGCTTGGAGGTTCTTTTCATCTTGTGTGTCAGCTGAATAAGATCATAATCTGCGTAACACATACTACTTCCTCATTATGCATTGGTGTGTGCTGCAATAATTCTTATTTATTCAATCCCTTTAAGAATCTGACACCTACTTCTTTCAACCATATGAGTCTTTCTCTTAGGGACCAGATGTCAGGAAAAATACTAGCCCATTTGAATAACAGTACATTTTTATTACTAACATCGCAGTTGATATAGTAAGACCAATGTGAATAAAATTATATGTTGCGAATATATATTGACTTCTGGGAAACGAGTTATTTAGGTTACCTGCATAGATTTGAGAACGTTTCCAGTTGGTTTCAGCTAGAACCAACGCTGACAGTTCATGTGTAGCTATCATTCCTGCTAGATCTGAGCTCTAGCCGCACTACTTGTTTACCCTTCAGCCTGGCCCACCCAGCCTGGTGGCCAGGCAGCTCTTAATACAGCCCCAGCTAGCGAGGGGAGAGAGATGTATTTATTGACGATGATTTGGAAAAGATCTACAAGTAGATAATCGCACCATAACGAAGCTGTCGAGCTCTTGTCCCTTCGAAATTATGTTCCCTATCCGGTATTTCAATATGCACGGATGAATATGCTGATAGTTGACGGTGAAATGGATGAGGTTCAGTTGAGCTGACAGACTTCTTTGATCCCTTACAAGCTTTAAAGCATTGCATCCACGTTAAGATTGTATCCGCCATTATTTCCCTGCATTGATTTCGAAAGCGATACTTCTTTTTGAAATAACTCGCACTTACGTGTGTGTACGGTATTTTTGTTGAATTATGTCTGAAAAAACTGTTGATTGTCGGTCAAGTACTCTTCGAGAACAGATATAAGTTTGAGATGACCACACAAATCTGTCAGCTGCCTTAGCATTTCAAGTGAGAATGTAGTCAATCAATAATTACATGTAATGAGCCAAGGTATAAGCTTGCGCAACCGGAAGTCTGGAGAAAGTCTAGTAACCGCTGCATAACTTATAAATGTGATTTACTCATTTTTTTTCTGAAAAGGTTCTCGAAAGGGGAGAACAGGTCAGGAATTTCCTATGTGGGTTACTCTATAAAAGGATCAAGCGTCCGGTCTATGTAGGCTCTATATCAGCTTTTACCGAATCATTTAAAACCTTTAGATTCAGTTAGTCATAAGCAATGAGAAAGGGGATATTGCACAAAACTTGAATTTGCATTTGGGGCTTACATATTACAGGACACTTACAATTTAGATCATTCCTTGCAAGAATTCTTGAAAATGGCATCCCAGGAAATACAGGAGGTTTTGAGTGTTATCTCTTAAGTGGTTTTTGCAGTAAAAAACGATAGTACACTACTTTAGATATGGCTTTGAAGACTTAGATTTAAAATCTGGTCATGCTTTCTTGCAGTTGCATAGGGGTTAACTGAACGAAGATGACAAAATGGTGAAAATCACCGATCTTAATCAAAATATTGCATATCCTTACAACACTACTGAAGATCACTGAGGACAAAAGGAATGTCTACCATCTCAAAAGATGTTTTGCATGTGTAGTTAAATCTCCCTACATATGAAGAAAAATAACCACTGAGTATTTCGGTTATAACGTATTGATATCTTGTTGTATGACAGGGTGAACAGAGCCGAAATTTTTCAACAGCCTTTCTTTTTTACTCCCCCATTCCTCTATAATTTGAAATGTTTATCTTGAAATTACCTCTATCTTCAAAAAGTGGAGACTAATCTGGGAACTAAGTAAAAGAACCCTAAGAGTTGCAGTTTTGTCAAAGTGTCAAGATATATTATAAACAAAATTTGTTAGTAACCTTACAACGTTCAAAGTCGTTGCCATGGTTCGTTCGCAAATATTCGATTAGTTTCCAATTTTGTTGTCCAGATCGTGAAAAATTGATACTGTGCTTTTTCTTGATTTTGTAACTATTTATGCTGCATGATTTATATGTTTAGTATATAATATGTCATATTCGGTAGTTGCAGATGTACGTTAGCTGTGGCAAACGAATCAAAGTTTCTATAAATATTAACTCTTATAAACATGTGCCTTCGAGGACCAAGAGTCTGTAAAGCATCTTGGTTAACGCATTTCCATAGTAGGAGAGGGCATCACGGAAGGTGACTTTGCTATGACCTATTAAAACTGCCTTGCACTTATTTGAGGAAGTGTGGTGTAATTTACAACCCACAGTGGGACAGTGATGAAATGTTATCAGTACGCTGATAGCGAATACTCAAAAAATCAAATTTTCAGCAACGACCCACACTGTAGAGTCAGAAATCACAGGGTTGAAAGCCGTATTACACAATCTTGGTGATTCGTGAGATTTTGTATAACTGTTTGACCTTGATCATATAGTTGTTTATTAGATATATCACACAGTGAAACATATTATTTACTGGATCCAGTAAATAATATGTTTCACTGTGTGATATATCTAATAAAAACTAATATGGAATTACTTACTACCACAGTGCCAAGTTTTACACATATATTGTTTGACCTTGAGGTGGAATGTCTATAGTTTTACGCATTTTCCCAAATATTTAACTTAACCCTCCCCATATCACCTCAGGGCTTTCTAAAAATGTTACTTATGGCTAACTAGATTTTGATTTTTTCTTATTGTTTTGATTAAGGATTGAGGCCTCTAGCCTATTTGATTAATTTTTTGAGTGCATATTTTAGTACATTCGCTTCTTATGCGTTTTTGATCCATTTGGAGAAGCAGTGATACATTTACAAGACTCATTTTGAGCAAGTTCTGTATACAGTTTTTAAGTTGTAATCTCACCAAGTATGTGTCTGAATTAGTGATCACATGAGCTGAAACTAGGTGGCAGTCTGATACAACCTTTATGCCATGAATTACTTTGACACATAATCAGTACTCGCCTACACTGAAAAGATTGACATATCTTTTTTTATATCTTCTGACGGTTGCATGCACGATACGCATGGTCGCAGAGTTTGCCATGTCTATGGGAAGCATCTGTCCCATGAAGTGACGTGATGAGTATTTTGAGTCATCTGCGTAGAGAGCTGTGGGTGATTTGGTGAACTTGGATAGTTCATTGATTGATGAAATAACTTAGAGAGGCTCATCACTTTGTCCAGTTGTCCAGAAGGAGACCTAGATATTCGCCCCTTTTAGCCGTCACATACTGCAAATGAATTATTTTATGAAAGCGAGAGTAAGCCTGATTGACAGTGAGTTCTGCTACATGAGGCTGTAGTGGGATTCTGTTTGTGTGATATACATGAAAAGGTCTAGTAATCAGTATAAATTATGTTATAAAGACATATAGAATAAAGCTACAAACGAAAACACGATTAATCCCTTATATAAATTTGGATAGTATTATTAGAAGACGGAAGTTATGTGAAAAATTTGATGTATTTGCGCTATACATTTCGAACAATCTGATCACACATTTAATTGTCAAGCCGACATATATGAAAAAAATTGAGGGCAATTAAATTGAGCAAAGTGACAAAAAAGACTTAAGAATAATTAACACAGCGTTTAGTGATCCAATCGAATAAGAATTATCAAGGTAAGTTAAGAGTAATAATAAACTGTTTTTGAACACACAGGGGCACTTACTGATGCTATAGCTTTTCATAAACTTAAGCACCCCCCATGTGTGTTCAAAAACAGTTTATTATTACTCTTAACTTACCTTGATAATTCTTATTCGATTGGATCACTAAACGCTGTGTTAATTATTCTTAAGTCTTTTTTGTCACTTTGCTCAATTTAATTGCCCTCAATTTTTTTCATATATGTCGGCTTGACAATTAAATGTGTGATCAGATTGTTCGAAATGTATAGCGCAAATACATCAAATTTTTCACATAACTTTCGTCTTCTGATAACACTATCCAAATATTCGAATGGCTTTGTTTTCTTTGTAAGTCAGAACAGAGGACATTCCGTCATGTCTAACACTGTCTTTGTCGGCGATGCCACTAAGACAGAAACCTATATTTGCGTGCGAGAAATGCCTAAACAACAATTTCAGTCTATGCTTTCGAAGTAGGCACTGAACAATTTAAACACCTCAGCCCTTATAACTATCACAAATCTGTTGAACCATATATGACACTGAGGTATGATATTTTAATTAATTTGTGACATTGCTCAAAAAAGCATGAATTATATTCAAATGCAGGTTTGCAGGGATTTTACTGTCTATGGCTTTGGTCAAGATCTGACACAAGTTAAAGAACCGTTAAGAAATGAGAAAGTACTGATCAAATATTTCATCAAAGTTTGGGAGTCTTCACCAGTACGCACCCAAAATGGTACATACGTAGGACCATCCAGTGTAAGGCGATTTCTCAGACCATTCAGTCATTTCAGCCCCGTCCGTTAGCCTATGAATTTCAACTTTCAGTTCGTTATATGTATATATATACATATATGGCGCAACCAAAATCCAGTATCATAGTCTGTTAACTGTGCTATTACCTGACCAACCTGGCTACGACTTCCCACTAGCACTCCAGGTAACTTCTCGTATAGAGTCGGTCGCTAGTGAGCATCAGATTATTTATCAGTGATTCTCTAGCTGAATTCGGCTCGTGATCAAACTCGCAAACTTGCTTGTATCGCGGAAGGCAGAAATATATAGGTAGTGATAGACAAATTAATAAAATGTCTTCACCTACACAGAGTTGTTGCGCAGTATAAGTTCTAGAACGCTGCATTCTTCGACTGCTATCTCAGAATTAACATGCATTGTGAATTTATCACCCCCGGCATGAGACATACCACTTTTAAATAAAGGACGATCATAGAAATCATCTGAACCAAAAGAGACTCTAGCCCTGGGGTTGCAGCGTGAAGCCTCACAAAAATGATAACATACAGATCTGGCAAGTTTCTTGCCTGTGAGGCACATTATTTAAAAATTTAGCTATTAGGAAGATTTAGTAAAATTTCGCAATCTACGGTAGTTATGAGGACAAGAGTTAGACAGGGAGAATATATATGAAAGGAAGGAGAAGGTATGTAGAACTTGAATAATATGGTTCAGTATATTTTTTCAAGCTTTCTGTCGCTATCAGCGCAGCGTAGCGAAGAGATATCAAATGTCTTCTTGCACGTATTCCAAATGAAGGTTTGGTCTATAACACTGTACATTTTATTTGATAGCACACTTTCTACATGAGTCGTTGTGGGTGCAGCCATCACCTGAAACCAGGAAGTATTTGTACATCTATACTGTTTTCTATTGTAAGTTTGGTGGCACTTTACAATAGCGTGTCTTCGTGACACTTATGTTCTTGTGAGTGCATGAAACAAAAATGGCTGCATAATCTGTCTATACCTTGTTCATTGCAATTTATTTCAATCCATGTATTTCCCGAAAGCATAGAGAATGCATCCCAAAAACAGACTCAGAGAAAATGCTATTTTTAACAGTCAACTATACGTACATTACAGGATTTTCATCATGAGCTGAAATTAGTTAAAGAACCATTGGTAAACCTGGGAGTACTGGACAGCTGTTTCGTCCTAGTTTGGGACTCTTCTGCAGTACGCACCCACCGGGATTCGAACCCAAGACCTTCTGGTTACAAGGCGAGCTCGTATACCATTAAGCCACTGGGACCCGATCCAATGGCCCAATGGCAGAAGTTAGAATTCATGTGCCATTGGATCGGGTCCCAGTGGCTTAACGGTATACGAGCTCGCCTTGTAACCAGAAGGTCTTGGGTTCGAATCCCGGTGGGTGCGTACTGCAGAAGAGTCCCAAACTAGGACGAAACAGCTGTCCAGTACTCCCAGGTTTTCCAGTGGTTCTCTAAGTGATGTGAGCTCATGATGAAAATCCTGTAACCAATCAAATCCCTACAAACTAACACTTGTATACGTACATTAATTGTTGAAAGCATGTGCGTTAGACTGTAGAAAGAGCTGTAAGCTCTCATCGTTAAATACCCACTGAAAAGATCAGCAAATAATGTAGAACCTCCCCTTATTTCATTAAAATAACATTTAGCGGACTACATACAGGATATCGACTTTATGTTATTTATACATATTACAAGACAGTAAAGCGGCAACCTTTTTCTAGTTTTGTTACTGCATAAAGTGGGTTTGCAAATCAAAATTGTCCTATGCAGAGGGAAATGTTGATATTTTACACTGTGTTATCTTGAATTTGGTCTCAAATGTGGTTGCACTTGCTTTCTCAGTAAACCAAACTAATGTTATTGAGTTCATCGAGTATTTGTTTGACTGATTATACAGAAAT